GTTTAATTCTCTACCTATTTAGCTCAGATGTAAGCTCAGCATTTTGGACTCATGAGGTCTTTCATGAATGGAACTGAACCCCCGCCCTATAGCCTAGAAGAATATTTCATTGTATTCTTAATTTTTATGAGTTTAAAGAACTGGTTCTTTACTACTCAGCCATTAAGAATGAGAAATTAAGAGTCATTCATAGGAAAATGGATGCATATTGAGGATATACTCTTCAATGAAATAAATAAGTCACACATGTGTAAATACTGAATAGTTTCTTTGGTGTGAAAAACTATAATCGTAAATAAGATCCTAATGGCATAAATGACAATGTGAAATAGGAAGAAAACGGCTAAAGGTGTAGGGGAAGTGGGTAGGGTAGGGAAAGCTAATAAGGGAAAAGAAAATAATATGAGAAAATGAAAAAATGGAAATAAAGTTTTGTAAATAGGGAAGGGAGGGGGGTTAAAGGGAGGTCAGGGACAAGGGGAAAAAATGAGAACTAAGACCTGTCATGCAAAGGTACAAGATCCTAAGACGAAGGTAACTGTACTGTATACCTAAAATGTACCAATAAACTCAATGAGGAAAAAAAGATAAAGAACTGATTCCTGTGCCCTTGAATCTTGCATTAATTCAATTCTAAATTTAAGAGGAATTTCTACTGAGCTGTATGTTCATCCTAAGTCTTGTTTCAACCACAAAATGGTGAGCCTCCTTCAGACTTTCCTCAACCTGTGACTTCATCTTCCACCTATTTATTTATACTTTGACATTCTCATACACCTTCCAAAGTCTTTTTCAGAGATGTACTTTTCTCTTATCCCTAAACCTAGATAATAAAAATTGTCTTTTGTTAATTAAACTTTAGTTTGGGTTACCTTACTAGAAGAATATAGCTATTTTTCCTAATGAAGGGTATTCAAGCAAGAAAGCTAGGAAATACTTTTGTTCACATCCTTTTAAGACATGATATTATTTAATACTCACAACAACATATGATAAGGTACAGGTAGGCCCTATTTTATAGATGAAACAACTGGACCATAAGGAAGATAAGCAAATTATAACTGCTTTGTTTCTTCTAAGTGCCTAGATCCTCACTGATAAATAAGATTTCCTCAGGTAAAAATTCTGTTCCACTTCCATCTTTATCATTATGATCTAACAGAGTAGCTGGGACAATAAATAATTTAAAAATGAGCATAATTATATGTTAGTAAGTAATCTTATCATATACCGTATTGCAGCTTTACTTTATTTGACTGAACAACAGATTTTGGCACTGCGGATTGGTGCCTCTTCCATAAGTCATTTCCTCCATTTGACTTCTGGAACAATTGCTTCACTGCTCATTTTCTCAGTATTCTTTGCTTGGTTTTCCTTTTACCAGGAAACTCAAAACCCTGCAATGCTCCAGGGATTTTTTTTTTTATATCTTTCATTTTCAATTTGGCCATCTTATCCAGTCTCATAACTCAATACATCAACAATATGCTGATGAATTTAAAGTCTATGTCCAGTGTTGAACTGCCCAACATTACCCCAGTCCAACACACACAAACTTAACTCATCTCCTGCGAATCTGCTAACCCTATCAACCTGCATAACTAAAAACCTCGTAGTTACTTTTCATTCTACTCTCACATATCTTGCATCCAACTCTCTTTGGAAAAATCTACTCTAATTTTAAAATAAACTTCTAAATTAGAAAAGTTTTAAATAAATATATCTAAAAACCAGCTCCAAGCTACAATCTAGTGTGAACCATCATACTTCTTTCCTAGGTGACTGCAACAACTTCCAATTCTTTCTGCTTTTCTTGCCACCACAGAGGCTATTCCTTTTTACTTTCAGGCTATTCTTAATATATTAGCTACATAGTGTCCGTAATCCCTTTGCTCCAAATACTCCACAAAGTCTATTCCTGAGATAGTGATCCTTTTAGCAATGAGCTCCTAAACTGCAACACAACACCCACTTATTTATGGCAAAGCGCCAACACTGAAATTAAATCTGAATATTGAGCTTTTGGTTTAGAAAAAACAACTAACACTTTAACATTTTTTGACTTAAAAGTAATACAAATAACACACGTGCCATAGGTTTACCACCACTGGTCTATTCACACAAATAATAACAATAACATACAAAACACCTGGGGAAATATGAACACTGATTAGATATTTTCTTTGTTTGTCAGGCCTAGGCATCTATATGATACTGGTTCTGCAGGCACAGAGAATGCTTAAGATATGGGGTCTTAATGGCTGCTATCAAAGGAAACTTTGGGGTCTAGGGAAAAGTGTGCTGCAGGGTCAGAGTACCTGCATGTACTGATCAATAGGATAATATCTAATGGAGCTATAAAGCCACACAGGAACCCCAAAGAAAAAGAATGACTACCAAAATGTCACATGGGTTCATAAAAATCATGAGTCATCAGTTTACAGCCCCAGAGAACAGCTATTTGGGCAACAATAAGAAAAACTATAAGGATGGTTAGCCCAAGACTCTGGGGTACACCAGCGTGCACAAAATGCTGAATTTGGAACTTTTGGATTTAATGTCTACTTTGGGCTAATTGTTTCTTTCTACTTATTTATTTCTTCCTTTTAGGATGAGAATGTATACCTTATGCTTGTTTCACTATTGTATATTGGAAATAGATAACTTGCTTTTGTTTTACAGCTCACAACTATAGTTTTCTTCGGGTCTCAGATGAAGCTTTGAACTTTTGAATTAATGCAGAAACAAAACTTTCAGCCGCGGGTGTAGCTCAGTGGCTCTGTACCGGCCTTGCAAGCACAAGGTCCTGAGTTCGATCCCCGGTACCAAAAAAATAAATAAAAAGAAAGAAAGAAGACAATCCAGCAAAAACTTTCAGGCCATTGGAGATATACTGGGAGAAGGTCATGAAACTTTGGAGACCAAAGGAAGAATGCTATATTTGGATATTATGTGAGTGTTCTCCAGGGCTTTATGTGTTGAAATTTAATCCTCATTAAACGCATGGACACTTCATTTGAGTTAAAGGTATAATCTTAGGAAAGTGATTAAGACTAGGTAAGACCATTAAGGTGAAGCTGTCATAATTGAATTCTGGTTACTTTATAAGAGAAAGAGAAATCAGACGAACAAACACGCACATGTGTGGTGCCTTGGGATTCTGTCAGCAAAATAAAGCTATCCCCAGATGCAAGCCCTTGAACCTCCACAATTATAAGCTTTTCTTTTATAAAGTTAGCCTGCCTCAAGTATTTATAATGATGAAAAGCTGAATAATACAGTATCGCTTGTAAAAATGTCAATAAATCTGTATATGATTATCATCTATTGATAACTGGTCTGTATATTTTAGCATTGTATTTTCACACTTAAATTAAAACTGATCTGCAAGTTTGATTGTTAAGATGCAGTATATAGATCCTGAACCTTTTCCATTAGCTCCATTAGCACTGAAGGACAAACTACTTCCTCTCTGAAGAAAGAAACTGCTGGTTTTCGGGCAACAGGGTTTCAATATAAATGAAATTCTTAATATAACATTCCTGGCTTTCAGCAGTAGTCCATTAATCCTGCTTCTTAAAATTTCTCATTGGAGTTTGAAATATGATGTGAGATCACTTTTTTAAAAAATCTGTGTTTGAAGGACATTATTCATTTAAAGGCAGTTGACAGTAGGCTAGATGGAGACTGAGACTCTTTTTATGCCAATTCCTTTTATGCCAAATCCTTGTCTGAATTTCAAGTTCAGTGTGTTAAAAATGAAACTTATTACTTCTCTGCCATGAAAGCTACCTACTCATCCTCCTCTGACCTTATCATTTTTAAGAATGGCACCATTGGTATGACAACCAACAACAGCCTCAGTGACTCAAGACTCAGAATTGTCCTCATGATTTCATCAGCTGCCACATCAAATAGTGTAGACTCCAGTAAAGCGTCTTCTTTTTTTTTTTTTTTTTTTGGTACCGGGGATCGAACTCAGGACCTTATGCTTGGGAAGCAGACAGTGGACCCAAGCTAAATCCCTGGCCCTCCAGTAAAGCTTCTTGAATATATTTTATTTCTGTCATTTTTTTCTTCTATTTTTACTCCAGTGGACATTCTGGTAATACCTTCTTGCTTAGATGGGCAACACAGCAACTGTGTGACACACTTGGCAAACTGACTCTTACTGAGGTTCAGCATTAACTCTATTACTCTCTTTTTCATACACTTCAGGCCAATAGTTCTTATCATTTAGGTATAGCTCAGAATGGTGTATCTATATACATTTAAATTATTTTTCTTTATGAGACCTGATTCCATTCACATACTTCTTCACATTAAGTGAACCATTTGTAAGGACTCTTGTTTTAAAAGCCCCTCTATGTTGAATAAACTGAAAAGTACCACAGCATAAAATTCAAGATTTTATGCCCAAACTAGACACAATGGCTATACTAGTTAGCTATAATTGCATAACAAATCATTCCAAAGCACAATGACCTATAAATAGAAGTGTGCGTGGCTTTTTTCTCCTCTTACCAATCTCTGAGTCAGCTGAGATAGTTTGGGTTTAGATCCTAAGTCCAAATCTGTTATTCTTTAGACTAGTAGCTACTCATTGGGAGCTTTATCTGTTATAACAATTTTATGACAAGAGGCAAGCTGAATAGGTCAGCACATTTAAAGTCTCAACTTAAGTCATATCTGACCATTTCCCAAGCAAAGCAAATCCCATAGCTGAATTCCAAATGCAAGGTCTGGGCAGGGAAGCATGCTCTGGCACCAGAGGGAAGGGGAAGAATTTAAACAAAATTTATCAGTTATTACACAAACCTTATTCATGATTACTCCCATTAATGTTCAATGATTACGGGTTTAAAAAGGATTAGAACTCTAATCTTAACTAATCAATAATGACTGTATCTCCTTATAATAATGAATACCATTTGTGAGGCGACTTCAGCATCTTGTAGCAAAGATTCTTTGTGTGACCCAATTTTAGTCAGGCTCCTTACCCTTCTCTCCTTTCTCTTCTCTTTTGTGCACTGTACATCAGTGACTTTACATGCACCGCTCCCCAACCACAGTGTTTCCCACATCTTGGTATCTCCAATCCTCCTAGCACAAGAGCTCAATAAATATTTATGTGACTCTAAAAATAAAATAAAGAATGAAATAATTTATATGGAATTCTGTAAACATCTTAGGGAAAAACATTAACCAGATACCACATACACAAACACACGCATAGACATTGCTTTGAGGTAGAAAAATTCAGAAATTGGGGAAAGTTAAATACAAGTCTGCACTTCTTAGAAGGGATTACCTCCTACTTTATAAAGTCAACAGTTTTTATTGTATTTCACCCTTACAGTTTATCACAAAACTGAGGACACTAGCAATGGTTGTAATAAATAACTGTGGTAAAATGCTGAGACACGGCATGAAACACCTTGGTCTCAACGCCAGCAAATATTTCCTCTTTTGCTTCTTTTCAGTTGATACTGGCAGAGTATTTTATTCATTTTTATTAGATACTTTGATGATCTATTAAAGTATCTGAATCTCTGATTTTGCTACCTTTCTAGCTTTATATGTTTCATAAAAAATAATTTCATTTCCACACAGGAGATTATAAAAGAGAAAATTCTACACATCAGATTTTCACAATGCAGAATAATTCCCATACTTGCAGAATGGATTGGAGAACAATAAAATCATCTATTTCCAAAATAAGGAAACATTACGAGATTGACCAACACTTATTCCAAGAAAAATATACTACTAAATTTTGTCCTTCCAAAAAGTTATGTGTTTTAGAAATGCTCAGCAGTCTACTATAAAAAGATAGCATATATTCCTGTAAAAGAATTACTTTTGCTCATGTAACTTAGGGAGACTGGAATTGTTCTCATGAATACTTATGGAAGATACCTAAAAAAGGGTCTAACAACGTAGCTCCTTAAAAAATTATGGAAAGTGAGGGTCTGATCCATAATCAAAGTCATCATTCTACTTACAGCTAGGGAACTAATGTCCAAAAAGTTTAGGCAATCTGTAGAAGGTTCCAAGCACACCTGGTATGAAATCTCTGGAAGTTTGGGTCATGAAGTGAACAGAGCTATTTCTGGTCACTCATACTGTGTTTTGCTGCTGTTGTTGTTGTTTTGTATTTTGTGTTTGTTTGTTTTTTTTTGTACCAGGGATCAAACTTAGGACCTTGTGCTTGCTACACAGGCAGCGGAACCACTGAGCTAAATCCCTGGCCCCCACTGATGCTGTCTTTTTCATTGTTCTGCCAACATATTACTGTAATGATATATGAATATAGGAATTATCCACAGCTATTATTTTTAAAGTCAAAACTATTACCAAATAGACATATAGGAACAAATGTTGCTTTAAAGTATTTTATTTTTTCCTACAAACTGATGGATTCCTGGTAAAAGTACAGATTTCATGTTCTATGTGAAAATGTATTTCAGTGTTTTACATTCTGCATCTGAGTGCACATGCTCATTTTCTAATCTTCCAAATTCTTTGGTGCTGTGAGAGACAAGAGTGGTGACTTGAATGGTAAAAGAATTTACCAAGACCACAGTACAGATAAAGAGAAGAGGTTATTTAAGTCAGTGCAATGTCAAGAGGGACAGCAGGGAGACGAAGGGAGGTCTGTGCAAGGAAGGAGGGTTGGTATTGTTTTTTAAAAGAGAAAGTGTAAGATGGAAGGAGGAAGAAACTAAACCCAAGGTCATGAGAACAAGTGCCACGGAGGATAGGACTACGTGTACTTTGCCCTTTGGGCCAGCGATGGACATCATTCCTATAAGACACAGACCAGGTGCAAGACAATTATCAGTTAAGTCTGATAAGGGAAAGAATGCCAATGGGTATTTTGCTGAAAGTTTCTGAAATAGCTATTTTTGAAGCAGAATTAAGTGACTGATTAAAGCCAAATGGAGGAAATGGCTTCTTTCTGGTTACTTAGCACTAAACAGTTGGGATTGTATCTTTTAAAATTAAGGCACTGCAAAAGAAACCATCAACAGAACTAAAAGACAACCTACGATGTGGGAAAAAAAATTTACCAACTGCTCCTCAGACAAAGGACTATTATCTAGAATATATAAAGCACTCAAATCAGCACCCCCAAATATAAAGATCTGATTAAAAAATGGACATCTGAAATGGACAGACATTTCTCAAAGAAGTAAAAGCATCAAGTAAATATTTGAAAAAATATTCCACATCACGGGTCATTCGAGAGATGCAGATGAAAACAACACTGAGATTCCACCTCATGCCACAAAGAATGGCTGCTTTCAAGAAATCAATCAATAACAAATGTTGGCGGGGTTGTGGGGAGAAAGGAACCCTTCTCCATTGTTGGTGGGAGTGCAGACTGGTGCAACCACTATGGAAATCAATATGGAGATACCTCAAAGAGCTGGGACTGGAGGTTCCATTTGACCCAGCCATCCCTCTGTTGGGTATCTTTCCAAAAGAATTAAAAGAATCATATCACAGTGATATATGTGCACCTATGTTTATAGCGGCACAGTTTGTAATAGCTAAAACTTGGAAACAGCCCATTTGCCCATCAGTTGGAGACTGGATAGAGAAGACGTGGTTTTTCTATAAAATGGAATACTACTCAGCCATAAAGAATGAGAAATTAGATTCATTCATAGGAAAATGTATTCACATTGAGGATATACTCCTAAGTGAACTAAGTAAGTCATACATGTGTAAATACTGAATAGTTTCTCTGGTGTGAAAAACTGTAATGGTACATAAGATCCTAATGGTATAATTGACAATGTGAAATAGAAGAAAAGGGCTAAAGGTGTAGGGGAAGTGGGAAGGGTAGGGGAAAGGAAATAAGGGAAAAGAAAAAAAACCATGAGAAAATGAAAAAATGGAAATAAAGTATTTGTAAATAGGGAAGAGAGGAGGGGGTGAAGGGAAGGCACAGGTAAGGGAAAAAAATGAGAGCCAAGACCTGTCATGCAAAGGTACAAGATCCCAATGATGAATGCAACTGTACTGTATACCTAAAATGTACCAATAAGCTCAATGAGAAAAATAAATAAATAAAATTAAGTTCATTTCAGAAGAATACCCTGTTTATAGAGGTCTCAAAGAATTCTCTCAAAATGTGGACTGTGGTATGTGGCTTCTTATATTATTCCAATGGTTTATAAAATAAGCTACTTATGGCAAAACACCAAAGTGGCACTAGGGGATTTTTAAAAAATTTTATAGTTAAAAGTACAGTGAATTATGTTAGATACTGTATGCAATATACCATGAGATGGTTCAAAATTTCAATATTAGATAATGTTACATTCTTTTCAGTGATACCATACCTTTGTGAATCTGAGTTTTCAGCAGTTACTGTGATAGCTACACATGAAAAAAAATGAGATGGTAGTCACCAGTAAGAATCCAAGTTTCAAGCAAGTGTATTGGACTCAACAGTTACCAGTTATTCTGATTACTTAAAAATAGAAAAAGTATTCTTTTAATTATGAGGAATACATATTACAAACCTACACTAAGAATACAATTTTTAATATTATGAGTATTACCCCTATAGATTAAGAGGTTATAACAGACACATATTTTCATTACTGAAATTAATACTTGAAGCCATCTATTTGATAAATGGGAAGAATAGTTCTATTGTCATCTTTTGCATAGGTGGAGAAAATATGAGGCTCGTAAAATCTGACTAAGAACTAGGCTTCCTTGAAATAACATGGTTTACTTAAGTGAGCAATAGATGCAGGCATCTCACCCCAAATCTAGACAGACTACTGAGATGATCTCTATGCCTACCCCATGAAAAATTCTTCAGAGGTAAAGGATCACACTATCAGGCTACAATTGAATTACTTTTAAAGAAGACTTATAATAACCAGCTTTATTTACTTACTGAAAAGCAATTTTATTGATTCTAATGCTGTTATTTAAATGTTATTTTCAATGCTACATAAAACCAAACAGAAAAGGACATATAGTTAAGCTTGTGACATTTTTCAGGCAACAGAAAGAGAAGGAAATAGTAATTGTTCTGTGTACCTCCTATGGGCCACTTTATTCCCTAACTTTCCCAACTCCTCAAATTCTCTTTAAACCTCTTCTTGGAAGACCATGAAAATCTGCTGAACTTCTTTCATGGAGAAAATCCAAAACGCTTTTGTTCATTTAAGCTGATCTATGCCAAGATTTTTCCCAGAAATTTATACTTTTTGACAAGATAAACATGAATAATAGTGGAAAAATGATTGCCTTTATCTCTAAGGCAAAAAGTAATTATTTCCTTTTGTGTTGAAGTCCAGAGAATCTGCACAGATGGCTTTGTCACCAAAGTCAAGATGATCCTCATTGCCAAATGGCATAGCCCACTTCCGAGTTAATGATGCATTTTGGTTTTAATACTCTAGTGACTGAAAGAACTGTAATGAATCGCCCTAACTTGAATTTCAGGGCATGGACCTGCTAATCAATGGCTTGAAAAAGTCACCTTCAAGGTTGTCAAAGTTCTACATTATGTTTTATTTCTCCAATGAAGAAAACTGACTCTTTCTTGCTCAAGATTATACTGCCTGTGTACCTGAGAATCTATCAAAAGCTAAAGAATATTCTGACATCATTTTCACAGGAATTATTAGCCAAATCCCATTAGATTCCAGTTCAGAAGACCTAACTTTGAAAATGCACTTGCAGTACTGTAAACACTGCAGTACATTCTTGGCCAATCCCATTTTTCCTGTCAGGTTGCTGTCGTGTGTTCATTTGAAAATTTCAAATACTATATGGAAGAAAGCATTCAAGTCCAGAGAAATGTTCAGCATACTAATTATACAAATGTGCCTTTTTCATTTAGATTCCTCATGGCAGGAATATAGGCTACAAGGTAGCAGCAGTCCTCCGTGTCACTGGGAGCTCATGGACTTTCTTTTTTCTTCTTCTGAATTTTCATTAGTATTTAAACTGGACAATGTGCTTTCTGTTTAAGATGGCACACAAATGTTTCCAGAGTATATCTGAAACATAAAATAACATGCCAGGTAGTGACAGCAACCAAGAAGAGACAGGAGTCTGACGTGTTCTGATCACTGTCACCTCTATTTAAAATCCTC